TCCTGCCTTGCACCCATTGCTTGCCAGGAAAGGCTCTGGCTTTCCCATAGCCCATAGCCCATCCAAATTAGAAAATGGATGGATATACCGAATATATGTCACATAGTTAGACATAGTTAAAAAAAATGTAGAGGGGTAATTTAGTTTGGATTCTCTCCTTTATCTGAAGTTTATCATTTTAAATTTAATTCATTTTTCAAGATAGTATTATTTCTATTCAAAACTTTTTCTTTTGTTTGCATGGAGTAAATAAAATATAGGAGGACTGAACTACTGATTATAGTTTAAAATAAAGTGACCTCCCAAAAGAGAGATGCGATTTGTAAAAGAGCAGGCCTGGGACAGTCACTTACAGTGGGTTCATTGCCGTTTGTCAGTACGCAAGACTGACACACAGTGACCTGTGTGGTCATACCCCAGCCCAAACCTCACAGGCCCCAAAAGCACATACTGTATCCTCATTCTAGCCATATATCCTGCTGGGCAGCCACTGCTAATGGATACCCCACCATCACTCAGAACAACACAGTCAAGCTCCCACACTATCCAAACACACTGTTTCAATGTAAGAACAGCAAGATAATACAATTCTATGGAATTACTATGCAATACAGTAAAAATATCTAATGAGAACTGTAATAAAGATACAATCAAAAAGGTCACCCCATGATCAACACAATTGAAGTTCTCTCAGAGGAAGAGATTCATTGTTACCCACACTGTCATCAATGACATGAAAAAGAGGTGAAAGCCATAATGTAAAACTGCTACTGTGCATTGGATAGAAGAAAATACCTAAAAAAAAAACAAATTATCCCTGCTTCCTACTGTACTTACAGCACACTTTCCAACATTAGGGAGAATACTTCTGTAGAGGTATTTCAAGGCACAGGTGTACAAGCATGTTGATTTCATTTTCTCAGAGAGATAGCCACACATTTGTCCTGTTTTATAACACTTTTTTGTAAAAAAAAGATCTTTTCTGTTTAACCAGTCAGAAATTGTTATGCAATTGAAATGTTAAAATGATGTGAAAGCTGAAAATGAATATATAACACCTGATGAGTCCTCAGAGAACAAAAATATAGACTGTGCTTTAGAAACAAAAATGAACTTACCTGCAGTGAAATATCATATGCATTTCAAGGAAATGTGCCATTGCTTTTTGAGAAAAAAAAAATTAAATCCTTATAACCAAATTCCTGTATATCACAAGAACATGTTATTAAAAAAGAAAAGAAAATCTTGATACGTATTTTTCCAATGTCACATGTTAAGCTGCCTCTAGTTTTTTCTTCCTTGTAAAATTTATTCAGGTTGGTTGGAAAAGGGTCTTTCATGCTCCCATATTGGTTTTGTTAAAACCATAGTCACCATATTTACAGGTGTACAGTATGTAAAAAGTATCATAAAAATAACAAAGGTAGGTGATTGACCTAGTTTTGTAGCAAGATTAAATTAATAAAGTACAGTATGTACCATACATAAGGTCAAACTTCTAATAAATTAAGCTTCTACAGTATGTATTTCAGATGTGAATTATTTTTCTTTTGCAGTGATGAATTTGAGTTTTTTTCTATGAAATGGACTTACAATAGTTAAACATTCAGATATACTGTAACAATGTGTACTGTATATCAGTCTTTGTCTATTGAGTTGGTGTGCAAAGTTCTGTGTTATACTCACATTCTGCAAATGTCCTTGTGGTTAAGTTTCTGATGAAATAGAACTACACAGAATATGAGGTAGTGTGGCCCAAGCAACAGCATATATGCAGCTGCCTTGTTGGGTTCAATAAAGAGATACCAGAAAACTAATCCTAAAAGGGTGCTACTGTACCTCATATCGACTGGATGTGAGAACTAAGAACTCTATAAACTCTCACCTTAGCTACCGTTCAAAGAGATCACCTGGGGAGTTTGTTCAAGATTCTCTCCTCTGGATACCTGCAAAAAAAGCAAGTCTATTGAGGATTTCAGTCATCAACAACTGTGTACAACAACTGTGGTTCTCGTGACAACAGTATACATACAGCTACTATATCTCTGTAAGAGTCCTTTATAACTTGTAATACTTTTGCATTGCACTGCATACATTTATTGCAGGAAAGGGATATAAGCAGCCTTTAGGTTTGTAAGTCAATTAAAACAATGACTGTTCTGGTTTAAACCAACATTAACTCAAATGATTAATTCAAACTCAAAATCAAACAGCACAAGTGTTGTGATCGACTAGAATTCCATTCAAGGTACCACACTTTTGCACATTTTGACTAAAGTTCAGTTGTTCTATATTCAGTGTGGTCAGCCATAAAGGTTTACTTTAATTTTTAACTAAATGTTTAATTCTGTATACTGTACAGAATACAAATGACTGAAGAAATATGATCAACAATATTCATAGATTACATAAACAACAGCACTAATAACAATACCTCTTATAGAGAACTTTTGACTTCAAAGCTTTGTTGGCATTACAGATAGGAGCTTAGTTTTCAGAATCACAGGCTAATGATTTATTCTGGAAAGCAAATAAGCTATACTAAAAAGTAAATTACACAAACAACATATTGACAAATCAGAGAAAACAATTTCACATACTAGTACTACAGTGGTTTTCAACACTGAATGACAAAATAAAGAAATTTTGCATGAAGTGCACTGTATGATGCATTATGTACGTCTTCATTCTGTGGTCCAGTACTCAAAGAATCTTGGTAGATATAGAATTCTTGTTTTATGTACTTTCCCCTCAAAAAAGAGTTATTAAATGTAAAATCTCATTTCAGTAAGTGTTATTCCTTACACTATATTCCTTACAATATAGGAGCTGGGTTATTATGCAATTTCTGTTTTGGGGAAAAACCTTTAAGCTATTTTTAAACCTTTCATATCAGCACACTGCACTCTTCATAGCAACTCCGTGAGACGCAGATAAATTAAAGACTTTGACCCTCCAGCATTTTTTAAATCGAATCTATGATGGTAAATTTCCATTGACTAGATGCAAACAGCCACTTGAAAATAAACTGTCACCAACAAGTACAGTAATTTATAAGTAAATGTGCAAATGGTATGTCACAAGTTTTAATCTGGTCCATACTGGATATCAATCCAATATCAGAAAGCTACTTGTTCCTGGTAAGGGTTATAGAAACCTCCAGCCAATTCTATAAAAACAGTCTATACCAGTATATTACAAGCACCATACCACAGACAATGTAGAAACAACATTGATTATAGCCAGTATGTTTTTGGGTCATGAAAAGATTCCCTACACAAATCAAGTGAACATGGCAAACAGATGGTGCCCTAGTCCAGTATCAAACTCACAACACAAGGGCTGTGTGTGGCGGTACCACTAACTGACATACAGTACTACCATGTCACCCCTTACTGGATAAACCACACAAAAAGTTAAAATGACCAAATGCAATTAATAAGTGCAATTAGACATCTATCTGTTTTCTAATCACTTTATCCAATACAGTGTCACAAGGCAGCCAGAGGCTATCCCAGAAAGCAACAGGCACAAGGCAGAATACACCCTGGATGGAGACACCAGTGCCATTAGACATTAAGAGCCTTATTTTCCCAAGGGGCAAGTTATGCCTTTCATAAAGAGAAAATGCAATGCAAAAGTGAGATTGTAATCATTTTAAATTAATAAAAAGTTAAACGAAGGATTTATATTTTATTAAGTTATTCATAACATTGTGATTTTGTACAAACTATAGGATTGGATATTAAAAGGGGGAACTGTTAGAAACATTATGGAAGACAAGTTTAAATTCCGCCCTGATTTAGTTTCTTTCTGGAGAACTTAGAATGTTTGTAATATTTTAATGTAGCTTTTTTAAAACACTCTATGTAAACAAATACCGTACAACACAGTTAATACCATTAAAACAATTATTTAAACATTGTAACAATCTTTTCTACAGATGTCTCTCCATATTTCACAGTGGTATTGAATAAATGTTTTTTATTTATTTATTTTTAAGTATTGTTAAGAATTGCTCTGACTTCTATTGGAAAAAAAACAACAGAACAACACATCTTTCAATTACTCAAAACATGATCATAATGTTATTAAAATTTTCGAAAATGTTATGGTTCAGCATACAGTACTCATCGGAAAAGACATTTAACAGCACATAGCTATTGCTGTTTGAAGTCAAAACCATTGTGCTCTTTTTAAAGTTACAGCGCCCTCTAAAGATCCAGGAAAAGACGTATTTTTCAGAGAATAAAAAGTCATTTTCTTGGACACATGAAAAAAAATCTACCCTTAATTTCTTAATGCATAGATTTTCCATGCATAACAATAGTGATACTATATATATATATGTACTCTCGGTATTAACTAATATTTCGTTAAACAGCCTTTTTAAAAAAAATGTTCTTGCAATTCAGCTAAAAGAGCTCTGCCTGTATGGACGTTGGATAATTTGTTGAAACTGGCAAGAAGAACTTCCTTTCAAGTTTCTTTTTTTTTTGAACGGAAGTAAAAGAAAGTTGGGGAAAAGTGGGATGAAACGAGCCTGCAAAATCCTACTTGTGTGGAATCTAAAATATGCAAACGGAGGGAGATATGAGCTGTGGGGATGTTCTATTTTTTTCGGTGTCTGCTTCAGCTCAGGAGAAAGCCTTCGGATCGCGCAGATTGGATTGGACACAGGCTTATATTTGTCCACAAGGAAATGTTTTGGACAGAAGAGATCAATAGTTTTTTTCAGTTAGCACGGAGAGATGCAAGTAGATTTCCTCGTTTTTGAGCAACATCAGGAAGACTGGAAATGGTTTCATAAACTTCTAAATCTACATAATGGAACTGAATTTTCTTGTTTCCTAGTATAAACGGAAGTCCTTGGAATTGTGTATTTTTTCGTCTTTATTCTGTTTTACAATTTTAAACGCTATTTTTTAACCAACTCTGGGCATAAACATTTTGTACTGAAGTCCTATCAGATGAAGTAATCAACGTTTTTGAAGCTTTATCAGACGTAAGTCTCAGAACATTGCTTAATGTGATGTCGTGTTCGTTTATTGCTTTTTAGAGTACAGTATACTGTTTTAACTGACTAATTTCGGCTTATTCGGCTTAATAATTACATTTAACCTTAGCAGTGTAATGCCGTGCGTGTTTTGCTAAAACAGAACAAACATTTCTATAGCAAAGAGACACCCTATAAGCACATCACTTCAAAGATGTTCGTACTGTATATTATCCAGAACAGTTTATGAAAAATAACGGAAATTACCATCGGTTTGGATAGTGTATTTTAAATGTCAATGCCGTTACAACACAAAATAAAGATATGTAATCTACATTTTAGGCATGTAAACTTTTACCATGAAACTGGATGGTACAGAAATCTTATTCGCAAAAGAGGTTGCTAAGTGACATATAGTTGGCAGCGTATCATTTGAGACAGGAGGGGAAAAAAGCATCTGTTTCTTGAATCATGGCTCTGAGGTTCATGGGGCGGTCGGTGGTTTTGTTATCATTTTTGGCTCTGGGGACTGCCTTCTCAGGCGTTTTTAATTCTTCTGACAAAGAGATTTTTAATGACGATCTGGAGCAGGCGGAACAAAAGAAACTAATAGATTATAATACCATTGAACAGTGGACACACGTTGCTCCAAACCTACACCCTAATTTATATTTCGACCCCGGGGATATAAGCTCCTTGAGACAAAAGTCTACGACTACTCATAGTCACATTTTTAAAGTTATCCGGACTGCAGTAATAACCATGCTTTCAAATTCTCAGCTGTATCTGCCTCCAGTGAAACACGAGGAGTTCAGCGCGAAGTGGAATGAGATATATGGAAACAATCTGCCTCCTCTTGCATTGTACTGCCTTATATGCCCCGATGACACAGCTGCGTTTCAGTTTCTTGTGAAGTTCATGGACAGAATGGCAGAATATCCAAATTGGATGGTTACAAGTGCGCCCAATGATGAGGTACCTATGGCTCACTCTTTAACTGGATTTGCAACTGCCTTTGACTTCATTTATGCTAATCTGGACTCTTCTAGGAGAGAGAAGTTTTTAAAGAAAATCCTCTCCGTGACAGAGGAGTTGTATGAAGTGTCTAAGTACAGAGCCTGGGGGAAACAGTTTTTGCAGAATCATCAAACTACTAATATTTTAGCAATACTTATAGGTGCCATAGTAGCAGGAATGCACAATAATCAAGAAACAATGATGTGGAAACAGGTTGCTGTCAATTACATGGAAAAAACTATGTTTCTTTTAAATCACATTGTGGATGGATCGTTAGATGAAGGGGTGGCCTATGGTAGCTACACTGCTAAATCAGTCACACAGTATGTGTTCCTTGCACTGCGCCACTTTAATATTGACAACACACAAAACAACTGGCTTAAAGAACATGTCTGGTTTTATTATGCCACTCTTTTGCCTGGCTTTCAGAGGACTGTGGGGATAGCAGACTCAAATTACAATTGGTTCTATGGGCCTGAAAGCCAGCTTGTATTTTTGGACACTTTTGTTCTTAAAAATGGCACAGGAAACTGGTTGGCACAACAGATCAGAAAGCACAGACCCAAAGACAGCCCTATGGGACAATCTACAGCTCAGAGGTGGACCACTCTTCACACAGAGTACATCTGGTACAATGCCCATTTAAATTCGCAGCCTCCTCATGGATCTGGGAGTCCTAGAATGCATATTTTCTCGAACTGGGGTGTTGTAACATACGGAGCTGCTCTGCCCAACAGTCAGGGTAATACATTTGTCTCCTTCAAATCTGGCAAGCTAGGTGGTCGCGCAGTCTATGACATTGTTCATATGAAACCATACTCCTGGATTGATGACTGGAACAATTTTAACCCCGGACATGAGCACCCAGATCAAAATTCCTTTACCTTTGCGCCGAATGGGCAAGTATTTGTGTCTGAGGCCCTTTATGGGCCAAAATACAGCTACTTAAACAATGTTTTGGTTTTTGCACCTTCTCCCACTAGCCAATGCAATGAGCCCTGGGAGGGCCAGATGGGGGAATGTGCTAAGTGGCTCCGCTGGACAGATGACAAGGTTGGAGACACAGCTGGGGAGGTCATCACAGCTTCCTATCACAAAGACATGATGTTCATTGCTGGTGAAGCAGGACCTGCATATTCCCCTGCAATGAAATTAAAAAGTGTCTACCGTGCTCTGGTTCTTCTCAATTCCCAGACGCTCCTTGTAGTAGACCACGTTGAGAAAGAGGAGAATTCCCCTATTAACCTGATTAGTGCCTTTTTCCACAATCTTGACATTGATTTTAAATATGTCCCTTACAGGTTCATGGAAAGATACAGTGGTGCACTGATGGATGTCTGGGATGCTCATTATAAAATGTTTTGGTTTGATCATCAGGGCAGCAGCCCTGTTCCTAACATTCAAGAAGCAGAACAGGCTGCAGAATTTAAGAAACGGTGGACACAATTTGTGAATGTGACGTTTCAAATGAAAAGCACAGTCTCAAGAATGGTCTATGTACTCCACGGACCCTATGTTAAGCTTACTAATTGCAGGTTTCTTGATAACAGCAAAAATGGACTAAAGCTTGGAGTAACCATCAACAACACTGAGAAAATTGTGTCCATTGTGACACAGTACAGGGATCTAGGCGCACGGTTAAGTTACCTGGGCTTTGGTGGTTATGCCAAAGTGGAAGACAGACAGCAGGTTACAAGATTTGGTTTAGGAACACAACCTGTGCTCAATCCAAGCACAACAGACAGCACTTTACTTGATTTTGGGTTTGTGGTTAACTTGATAGCAGGAGTGACGCTGTGTGTTGCCATAGGATTTTTGACTTTGCAAAGGAAGTTTTACATTTGCTTCAGCAAAATTATGCGCTATGCTCTCATAACAGTCCTCCTCCTTTGGATAATTGAGCTGCTGTTTGTCTCCAACAGTTGTGACCAACTCCTTTGTGGTGTGAAATGGAGTGGTATTATCACAGACCCTGATGCAAATGTGGAAACAAAACTTTCCAAACAGCACCCCTTCTTATTACCGACGGTTGTAATCACAACTCTTCCCGGTTCAGGAGCAGAAATTTTAAAGCACCTTTTTTACAACAACTCCGATTTTATTTACCTTCGGATTCCTACTGAGCACCTAGACTTGCCTGAGACAGACTTTGAATTTGACTCATTTGTGGATGTATGTGAGTGGTCAAGGTCTGATGCCCTAAATGGACGTTTTAAAATAATACAGGGCTGGTTTCATTCCCTAGTGCATAATCCTAAAATACACTTGCAGAACATTCAATTGCATGAAATGAGCAGAGGCAAGCTGACTCAGAGAGGCAGTGCTCTCAAAGATAAGAAAAAAAGAATCAAGAGAAAAGAGCCTTTGACTGAACAGAAAGGTAGAGCAAAAGGAAGCCTGGACAGGGATGCTGAATACATTAAGGAATTGCGAAGACACATTGGTTTGTATCAAAATGCACGTGTGGTTCTTAGCCTAAGAAGTGGGAGCTGGGCTTTAAAGCTTCCTTTCATCCAAGAAGTTATTGGCCCCTCTTTGAGGGCTTTATATGTTGTAAGGGATCCACGTGCTTGGATTTACCTAATGCTATATAACAGCAAACCCAATCTCTACACTTTGAAAAACATCCCGCAGCACTTATCAATGATCTTTAAAGGGGACAATAACGGAGACAGCTGCCACCCTAGTTTAGGGTGTACTCCGGAGTTCAAGACTCTTCACAGACTGCTGTCACACTCTGAAAGCAATCCAGTTTTGCTTCTAGCACATTTGTGGCTTGCTCATACATCTGCAGCACAAAGAATTAACAACAATTTACTCCCAGTAAATTACTTGTTGGTGAAATTTGAGGATATTGTTCACTATCCGCAAGAAACAGCCGAAAAGGTGCATACCTTCCTAGGTATACCTGTGACTCCTGCAGCTATAAACCAGCTCTTGTTTGCTACCCAGACAAACATGTTTAGTCTTCTTTATGAGGGGGATATATCACCTACAAACATAAATACTTGGAGGCAGAAAATGCCCAGAAAGGACATTAAAATAATTGAAGATGTATGTTGGTCTGTGATGAAAAAGTTAGGGTATTTAAAGTTTACTAGTTAAATGCTGCAGGTCAGCTTTATTTTTTGATACACTTTTTTATTCATTTTGCACTAACAAAATAAAGTGAAATTGTAATGTGTGATGAAACCACTCTGCAAAGGTCTAAAGAGAAGGAAGGAAGCTTACTTTTTTTTGTTAAATTTGACAATAACTGTTTCAGTTTGTACTGTGTAACTGTTGGTAATAATGGTTGAATATGATATTTTACATTGAAGTGTTATTGGAACATTTTCAGTGTTGCTTTTAGCTTTAGTAATGTTTTCCCTATTCCTAGGCAATTTTTGATCGGAATGAATGGGATGTCTTTGAGCTATTTAATGTTTTATGTGGAGATGACACATAGGTGTTCTCAATCCTCCAAAAATCATCTCGTCATTTGAGAGTGGTTATTTTTGTAATGTTGTGTCAAATGTAGAATTGTGCTTCTGGTACTAAGTCTTATATAAAACTAAATATTGATATTATTTTCTTATAAAGTTTGATTTATATATATAGTCCATGTACAGTTGTATTGTTTTATACAAATATATTTTACAGAGGTTAGTGGAAAATGTATAAAAAGTTAAAAATGCTTGAGAGGTTGCTTTGTGAGTTTAAAAATGTGTCCTGAAAACTGACATTTTCTATGTTAGTTTTGAAATCTTATTTTCTATTCTTCTTCCCAACATGTATAACTGAGAAGTTATCTCAGAAGTTTTGGGGACTAGCCTACATTGAATACTTGTGCTCACCCCAGTGTTGCTGTACCCAGATAGTTCATCACTCATCTTATCCAAACTGTTACAAAATAACATACTGTATTAGACATTTTTGTAAAACATTTACAGTGTTGTTTACGGCGTATCTTATGAGGCTCCAGTCGGTTATGTAAATCTTTCAGGATGCTGATGTAACTGATGTGTTTGCTTAGAAAGTGCAAGAACCTTTGCATGGAGATCATTTAAAACAGAATTTGGGGTTATGCCTGTAATGCATTTAATTGTTGCATAATTTGTGATTGAAAACAGCCTTGGTTCTCATGACCCCAGAGCATCACTAGTTTCTGTTTCAGTGGATCTCCAAGTTTAATAAACCCTTTAATGAACTAATAATTTTATTAATTTGAACTTGTTAGTTGTCTTCAGCTCTCTTAGTTCTCAGCCCTAACATGGCTTAAAGCTTCAAGTTAACCATAACATGCTGACCACTGCATTTTGTGAGCAGCTGAAAATGATTAAGAGACTTGTAAGCAAAGTGTAAATTCAAGTATTAGTTTAAAAAAGTATAAGATAAAGAAGAAGATAGAATTATTATTTTAAATACATTTCACAAATATGAAATACTTTTTACTCATCACTAAATAAAATATGATTGATTGTGATGTTAGCAGTGCAAACATGAGGTGATCACAAGGGTGTCACTACTGTATCTGTTAGTGTTCTTTTTGTATTTCCATACTGTAGACTCATGTGATATAAAGGAAATAAAAATAAAAATGTGACATCACCAAATGGCCTTAGAAAATACGAGATGTTGTTTAAATAACTGTGGTCGGTGGATAAAGCTTACATTTGTCTGACTCGTGGTGCCATGGATGTTCTTTTTCCCTCAAGCTTCTTTTAATATTTAATTTCAACGACCCAATCCGCTGTTGTACCAATAAAAGCCCAATCATTGGTATACTGATTTATGTTTTTTTTTAGTTAAACCCACACATTTGTTTTGGGTTACAGAATTATGGAATGCTAAATTTACCACTAATGCTGAATAGTACATAGAGTTTTGTCGATTAGGCAAATAAAAATATAGAGATGATGTTTTGTATATTTTTTTCTTCCCTATGCTGCAGTATTACATGCAGTTGTTTGGGATGGTCCCAGAGAAAAATAAAAAATTGTATTAGTTTAGGTTCAGTCAATGTAGCTTGTGATAAATTTACATAGAAAACCACAGCAGATTATAAGATCATAACATGTTTGTGTTCATGTGATTTAGATTGTATTTAATCTGTAAGGAACAGATTATTAATTGCCCAAAGGGTTCAGTGTCATCTTTGATCAATCAGATTAATACCTGCTGTGCTTTGTACAACTTTTG